TTCATATGTTATATAATCTTATAATTATGTGTATACCTTTATTTATATATTTAGGGTAAATTTATCTAGATTAATTTTTATGTTTGCTCGATTTTGAGCTTAGACCCATTTCTATTTATCTCTTTTGATCTTGTCAAAAAGGGAGAGGTTGTAACGAGTCTAATAAATTAATTTATGCAATTTTGTGAAAATTTGATATGGTGCAATGTTTCAGGGTGAGCATGAAGGAAAACCTTGACCAACCTTTACTTAATGCTCAAGTCGACTCAATTCCTATGTAAATTTGCAAGTTACGAAGCGTAAAAAAAGGGGAGACTGAAGTTGCTATGCCCTCTGGAGTTTTAGTTTTGTTGTTTGTCTTGTTTATTATTGTTTATCATTTATCATTTTAGTTATTAAGTCTCATCTATGTTAGATCTTTGTGCACATCTTAGAATTGAATGCAATTCCTTATGTCATGTTTGTGCATGCATAAATCAAACCCTTAGGTAAAATTTAATACAATATTGTTCAAGTCATATTAGTCGAACACTTGGGCTAAGAAACACATGAAATCTTGATTCATATCATATTGGCTTTATATTCAATCTTACACTTCAATTTTCCTAAGAATTCAATTTTTAGAAGTATGATTCAAATCAAAATCATGTATGATTCAAATCAATAAATAAATGACGAAATTCAAATTTTGCCTATTCAGATTTTATTAAAATCGCAAAAAGCATGATTCATATCATGATGGTGTTGACTTGAATAAAAGAGAAGGTTGATCGGAATCATAACAATGTTGACTTGAATCACATAAATGTTTTGTTTCAAATCATGACATTGTTCACTTGAATAACAGAAAAGCTTGATTTGAGTCATGGGTGAGGTTAAATTTTTTATTTTTTCTTCTGCTTGTGTGAATACTGCAAAATCTTGGTTTTAAGTTCTTGATTCAAATCATTTCCTCATTTGACTTGAATCATATCCATTGCGCTTATCTCAAATAAAAAAAGGTGGTTTACTCATTTTTAGTGTTAAATCTCAAACACATATACAAATCATTTTATGTCATTTTTTAAACAATATGAAATAATGTGTGATAACATCTTAACCAAATCACAAATTTATTTGAATATGAATTCATCTTCAACCTATAGCAAGATAGCATGGGTTGGTTGCTTCTAAGTTCTTAGAGAGAGTGAGATATATCATAGAGGAAGGTCTTTTATTTTTGATGTTAGTGAAGTTATTTTGTTGTAGGTCAAGATTTGTATTGTATGGCATTACCGGGAATCGACAATCTAGCAGGAGCAAAAAGAAAGGATTTCTTCTCCACCAAAGACTTTGGTAAAAATGAGCAAAGTTTACTACAGAACAAAGTTGGAAGTTTCTATTCCTTTAGATAAGCAAAAAGCCTATACAAGGTACCACTATGATCGAGTAAAGGTCATTGTAGAATAGATGCTTGGAGTGAATCTTGGATAAGAGTAAGAGGACGATCAAGACATAGTAAAGGTATTGGAATTTATCTTCATGGGTTATGTACAATAATGAAGGTATCCAGTTCCTTGTTTGTATAAAATGCACATTGTATAATTTCCAAAATAATGGAAGATTAAGAATTTTTAATGGACCGCCATTAAAGACTAGATTAGAAGCAAAGCGAGGAGAAAAGCACTGAATCAATATAAACTCTAGTGAAATATTCTCTTTCCTGTCACATTTTAATTTTTAGTTTAAAATTACATGTTTAGGTTTTTACAACTTTCTTATAAGTTGCATGTTGTTATACTTAAAGTTTTTCATAACAATTTGATGTGTAAAGTTTAAATCTGGTAATGATATAGTAATTTGAATACTCTCTCTCTCTCTCTCTCTCTCTCTCTCTCTCTCTCTCTCCCTCTCTCTCTCTCTCTCTCTCTCTCTCTCTCTCTCTCTCTCTCTCTCTCTCTCTCTCTCTCTCTCCTTCCCTTTGTTGAAGTATATTAGGTGGGTAAAAGTTTTATCGTCTCCACAGGAATTATCGTGATATTACCGCCATTCTACAATTTATATTGTCTTAAGTGAGGGGTTTTAAAAGAGTTTTGTTTGGTATCATAAATTTCACAAGAGTTTCTTAGCAAAGAGTAAACTGTAAAAGTTATTTGTTTAGAAAGCATGTCAAAATTAGGTTTCATTAACCATTTTCATACATATCCTAATAATAAAGCATGTGAACTTGGTTATGATCATTATAATCACGTATCCTCGCAATACTGTTTATCTCTAAGGAGATTTCGTGAATACCATCGTATTAATTACTAGATGATGTCTCATGCTAGCAATCAACACAGTAATCTAAAGTTTGATACAAAGTGAATATCAACTCACAAATCTATGTCTAGAGTTTGTTTATTGATATATGAATAACTTAGGTCATGGTTTGAAAAATATTTTTCAATAGTGATTCAAATCAAAGATATACCATTAAAAGCAAATATATTCATCATATATTGATCATTAACTTTGTTCACATACAAAAGATCAAAAGAAATATATATTAAGAAGTTTAACTACCTCTAATCTTGACACGAAAGAGAGTTTAGCTACCCATCACCATAGTAGCTTGAGCAACAAGTAAGAAAGAAAGCTCTACTAGCATCAAAGTTGAAAGATCAAAGATTGATGCTCCAAAGCTTTGACTTTTACTCCTTTTGAAGTTTTTGAGCTTCTTGACATAAAATATCTTCTAAAAATCTGAAAAGTGGAATTTTGTTCCAAAATATCTACAAAGTTGCCTTTTATACAAGTGCCTACAAGTGACACTGCGCTAAGCCCGTTCAGAGCTTGCTTAGCGCGGTCGGTAAAGTATTTGGAAAAATTCCAGAAAACGTGCTTAGCGCGGTGGAGCGGGCTAAGCGTTGTTTGACACCCTTAGCTACTGCCTCTTCCTTGAAACTGCACTATATATTGGGCTAAGTGCGAGCTGGCTTGAAAAGTTCTTCAAAATCTCTACTAAACTTGAATTTCTTCCTCCATAGGCTCCAAACATCCATTCAAGTGATAAAACCTACAAAAATTCACCAATTTGATCACCCAACAAGTTATTTTCAAGAATAAGCTTGAATTTACTTATTTACACTAAAACTATGATTTTATTACTACTTCACAATGAAATCAATTGAAAAGGGCCACAAAATACCATCAATTATAAACACAATTTGGCCCTTAACATACTCTCTCACAATTATGAGTGTATAAACTTCTATTGTAAGATTAATGATTTATTTAATCAAATTCAATTTGAACCTTGTATGAAAACTAGAATGTGTTAATTGTTGTACTGCTTATTTAAACAACTTCATCTTTCTCTGTTGTTGTAATTTATGATGATCTCAGTTGTTAGCTTTATAGATGCTTACTCATTCTAAAATAAGATAAAGAAGAACCCATTGAAAGCACCCAAAAGAACCTTCGTGATCCATAATTGCAAAACTACTGCGAGGTAATTCCTTTTGGTCTGAAGAATTCCACCGCCACACAGTAGAGGTTGATGGATGCAATTTTTTCATACCAGATATGGAGGAACTTAGAGGTATATCTATATGACATGGTAGTGAATACGCCCAATACAAAAACTCATGGCAAATAATTGGAAGAATTGTTTTGGATTTTATGCTAGCTAGAAGAGGGATATAAGCTAAACCCCAACCAAATGTTATTTTGGGGTACACGCATGAATTGTTTTAGGTTTTATGCTAACTAGGAAAGGGGTATAAGGTGACTCAGGAAAATTTTGGGCCATAGTTAATATAAGAAGCAGGGCCGGCCTTTCACAGGCGCAACAGGCTCTATGGAACTGGGCCCCAAAATTTTGGGGGCCTATTTTTTTTTTTTTGAAATCTAATTAATATGAAAAAATTTAAAATATATATTATTTTTCCTCATTCCAAACGCAACCTAAAACCGAAAAGACGCCAAGGAAAATGAAACGTCGGCATTAAAGAAACCCAAAACAAAGTTGTTTATATACATCACATAATAAACCAAAAACAAAACAATATTAGAAAGAAAAAAACAAAACGGCGACGGTGAGAGTGTGAGACGACGGCAGTGCAGTTTAATCGGTAAGTTTGTTCAAATCAAAGTAGTTTATCTTCATGTTTTGAAAGAAAAAAAATATAAAATTAAAGAAAGAACATACATAGATAGAAACTTGTATGTGTTTCTTGGTTTATGATTCTTTCTCCCATGGCTCTATTGTGTTTTTTTTCTCCTAAAATTCTAAAATTGGTTGAGTTAATTTTACTGTAAAAAGAAAAGAAGAAATGGGTTAAGTTAGGTTTCAAAGAAGAAAGAAGAAAAGAATAGAGATGGAGAAATGAATAGAGAATAGTGAGTGCCGAGTAGTAGCTGTCAAATAAATGGTATAAGTAGAATAATGAGTTATACTTATGAGATTATTTTGTATTTTTTTATTACTTTATACTTTTGAGTTTTGATTAGTTCATATTAAAAACTAATTGAAAAGTAGAAAGGTTGCAAGTTGTCAAAGAAGTGTGATAGAAAGATTGCAAGCTGTCAAAGAAGTGCTTTTTATATTGTTGTGTCAAGAGTATGTCATTTCTATGTGTGTGACTCATTCAATTATCTCAATAGACAATAGTTTATGATAGAATCTAAAATTTAGAATTAATTGTAATAGAAAATATCAACAACAGTAAGATTAAATTAAAAATAATTAATTTTGGAGCATTTTATTTTCTGTATATTTCATAGTAGTGTTAGTAAAAATAGTGATAATATAATTAAAGTATTATTAATAAATAATAATCCCATTTTATGATGATTACAAACATGTTTTTTTTTCTGGTACTATTTTTGCTTGCACTAATTAATAATTTATTGTAGGAACTTAATTTAACAACGAGGCTACAAATAGATCGATTGCTAGTAAATATTGCAGAGTTGATCATTGGCGGACACAAGACATTGTGAGATATTCCAGGTTTTTTTTTACTATGCCTCCTATTATGCCTCCTAAGAATAGAAAGTATGAATGTGGAAATGATAAACGTAAGAAAAGGAAAAAAATTGAAGAGTTAATTCAATCTCAAGCAGGAGCTCTTGATAAATTTTTGATAAAAGAACCACAAGTTCCAAATGAAAGTCATTATGTTGATAATACTAATGTTGAAATTCTTGATAGTGTGCCCATTGAAAATGATAATGTTGATAGTGTGCCTATTGAAAATGATAATGCTGATAGTGTACCTATCGATGATGAAGTTAATAATGATGATGATAATCTTGAGGAAGTTAATGATGATGATGATGATGATGATGATGATGTTGATTACGATATATTTGATCCAAGAAATTGGGATCGTCTTCAACCTAAAATGATTGATTTATTAGTTATGAAAGGGCCTAAACGGGATAATTCTATTGTGAGGGGTCCTAGAGATAATTGGAATCGACGCTTTACGACTAATTTGTATACTAGAGCTTTAGCAAATGGAGAGAAGTGTGATAGAGATTGGCTTGTTTATTCAAAAGAGCTTGATAGAGTATTTTGTTTCTGTTGTAAAGTTTTAAAAAATGGGATTGGTAGGGGACAATTAGCAAATGAGGGTTATAGTGATTGGTCACATGTTGGTGCAAGAATTAAAGAGCACGAGTTAGGCATGGAACATGTTAAGAATATGACTACTTGGTATGAGTATCGTCAAAGGTTGCAGAAATTTCAAACTATTGATAAAACGACTCAAAGATTAATTGAGAAAGAAAAGGATCACTGGAAAAATGTTTTAAAAAGAGTTATTTCAATAGTGAAATTTCTTGCTAAACATAATTTGGCATTTCGTGGTTCTAAGGAAAAGTTGTACGAAGATAGCAATGGCAACTTTTTGGGTTTGATTGAAATGTTAGCTGAATTTGACCCAATTATCCAAGAACATGTTAGACGTGTTACAACTCAAAAAGTTCACACTCATTATCTTGGACATAAAATACAAAATGAGTTGATTTCATTACTTGGTTCTGCAATTAAAATTGAAATCATTAGAAAAATCAAACAAGCAAAGTATTTCTCAGTAATACTTGATTGTACTCCGGATGTTAGTCACCGAGAGCAAATGTCTTTGATAATAAGATATGTGGATGTTTCTTCAACTTCTATTAGCATTGAGGAATCATTTTTAGGATTTTTGAATGTGAATGATACAACTGGTCAAGGGCTTTTTGATGTTTTACAAAATGAATTGAAAGAACTTGGTCTCGACCTATTTGATGTAAGAGGACAAGGTTATGATAATGGGTCAAATATGAAAGGAAAACATCAAGGTGTACAAAAGCGATTTTTAGACATAAATCCAAGAGCTTTTTATACTCCTTGTGGTTGTCATAGTCTTAATTTGACATTGTGTGATATGGCTAACTCTTGTAATAAAGCTAGGAATTTTTTTGGAGTTGTTCAACGCATTTACACAATTTTTGCTAATTCAACAAAGAGATGGCAAATTTTGAAAGATAATGTAAAAGGGTTGACTCCAAAATCATTATCATCCACTCGTTGGGAAAGTCGTGTTGAAAGTGTCAAAGCTATAAGAACTCAAATGTCAGATTTTACAGAAGCTTTACTTGAAGTGTCAGAACATGATCTCGATCCTAAGATACAAAATGAAGCTAAATCCTTAGCAACTAATGAGCTTGGTGATTTTGAATTTTTGATGGCTATAATTATTTGGTTTGAAATATTATCTGCAATTAATTTTGTTAGCAAGCTTTTACAGGAAAAGGATATGCTTATTGATGTTGCTATGGAAAAAATAAAGGAGTTGATTTCATTTTTTGAAGGATATAGAGAAACAGGTTTTCATAAGGCATTGGTTAATGCTAAGGAAATTGCGGTTGAATTGAATATCGCTCCAATATTTCCTCAAAGGCGTATAATTAAAAGAAAAAGACAGTTTGATGAGAATTTGAATACACCAGCAGTCGAGCTATCTGAAGAGGAATCTTTCAGGGTTAATTATTTTCTTTACCTTGTTGATCAAGCTGTTGTTTCTCTTAATAAGAGATTTGAGCAATACCAAGAGTATGAAAGTATTTTTGGTTTCTTGTTTACTTCTCACAAGTTACAATCATTGGATGATGCAACTTTGAAGTCTTTTTGTAGTAACTTTGAACGAGTACTGAAACATAATGAGCAATCTGACATTGACGGGAATGAATTTTTTGAGGAATTAAAGTTACTAAGACAAATGTTGCCTGAAGAAATCATAAGACCTACTGATATATTATTATTTTCAAAAGGCTTGGATTGTTTTCCTAATACAGTTATTGCATATAGAATTTTGTTGACTATTCCTGTGACAGTTGCTTCTGCAGAAAGAAGCTTTTCAAAATTAAAGTTGTTAAAGACTTACTTGCGGTCTACCATGTCACAAGAAAGACTTAACAGATTGGCGTTGATAGCAGTTGAAAATGATCTTTTGGAGACAGTAAAATATGAAGATTTGGTTGATGAATTTGCTTCAAAAAGTGTTAGGAGGAAGGCTCTTTTTAAGTAGTTAGAAACTTTATATTGTATAAAAAGATATTATTAGTTTAAACAATACTTTGAATTTTTAGTGTATTTTTTTATTATTAAATTATATATATATTTTAGATTTAGGCCTATTTATTAAATTAAAACAGGGCCTCCAGATTGATTGGGCCGGCCCTGATAAGAAGTCCAACCACAGTTAAAGAAGTTTGACAACTGACAGGAAAATTTCCACCCTCTCTTCTTTTATCTCATGCACTTGCAATAAATCCTTCCACTTTATTTCCACATTGAAAAAGAGATATAAGTTTGAGTAGATAGAAAAATGCAAATAAGCATTTATGAAGTTGAGAACCTTTATGAAAATGTCTCAAATATTAACTCTCCCAAAGAAGAGGGAACCTTTGTTTCTATAGACATCAATAACTTAGACCACCACGAGTTATGTGTTAGTTTAGGAACTGGAAGTCGCCAGAACACCGATTTATTTTATGAGAAAAGTTTTTAAACAAAATGAGTTAATTTATCAAGAAATAGAGAGGCTGGCCTTACTAGTGGTTACAAACATCTAGAAAACTAAGGAAACATTTCCAAGGCTATCAAATAATGATCAAGACTAAATATATAGTTTGATATTCCATAAAGAAACTAGGCCTATCAAGAATAATGGTATCTTGGTCGAGGAAGCTATCTAAATATGACACTATTTTTCTTCCTATGATCTCAAGTCCTAGACAACTTCTTTGAAGAATTATGATCACTTGTTACAAAAGACACCCATTGCTTATGGATCTTATGTGTGGATAGAGCATTCAATATATAAGAGGAACATGTTCATTTTAGTGCTAAAGAATATCAGTGAGATTTTAATTGAAAAATAATTCAATTTCAAGGAAAGTAACAACTAGTATGAATATAAAGCTTTTATTGAAATAATTGCTTTAAAAAGAGAAATGCATGCATCCAATATTTTGGTAACAAATGATTCTCAACTTGTAACCGATCAAGTCACCTACTAATACCAGATCACAGAACCACAACTAGTAAAGTATCTACAAAATGTCCATAAACTGGCTACATATTTCAGTTTCTTTAAAGTAAGTTACATGCTCGGAGAATAAAATCCAGAGTGGATATCTTGCCAAAACTCTCCATCACCTTGAAATCGGGTCCCAATAAAATGGTAACACAAGCGATGTTTCTCTCTCGCAATACTGAAGCCATAATTGTCAAAACCATAGATACACTAGACACAAATAGTTAAATGACATACATAGTTTAGCACCTGACGAACGCACAATTTTCCCTAGTGTCATACCCTAATTTTTAACCCTAATATCCTATTTGTCATTTGCATCTTTACACAAATAAGATCACATATTGAGTCTCCCCCTCTCATCCTTTGGATTTTGCTTATAATATCACCAAGCAACTTTTTGTGTGTATTTATCTTTATGTTTATATGCGTATTGTTTAACTAACCACTAATCAAAGGGCAACAAAATATGTCTTGTTTCTTTAAACTCATTGTGCAAGGTAGAGCATTTCATCAAGAGCACCATGCTTGGTTCCTCAGCTAGGGTTTTGTTCCCTCAAGTAAAAGTGTGAGCATCCATTAACTCGCAAGGGACTATCTCTCAAGATATGACTTATAATATCAAGGTCTATGTTCTCAAGCATCATCCTATATCATTTTAAGCAAGAGTACCTCAAGGTTGTGTAGCATGTTTCTTAAGAAAGTCAAAGGTTCATGTGTTTATTTCCATGCCTTCTTCAAAGCCTTGGTCAATGAAATCAAAGAAAATTCAAGGACATCTTATTTTAGGTTCATATGATCATTGATGTACCTTGAAGAGCAAGAAAATCTCAAGCATACATGTTGGAAAAGTTTGGATGGTTTATCCATTCAGAGTTACATGTGTTTGAGTAAGGATTTTCTTGTGCATAATTTACTTGGTCAGGTGCAATCTCTGTCAATAGATGACAATCAGTAGTGACATACCCTTGGACCCATAGATTTTGCAGTTTGGAGTCACAGCAGCTACGATAGCTGGAGGGGTAATAGATAAGTTGTTGATCTTTTGAATAAGTGTATCAACGTTAGCATTTACATTATCAATACAATTGACCTCGAACATGCCTCTATTTTTTGTGTCTTCTCTACTTGAACTCGTTCGATTCCCCATTGATAATGGTTATGGACCATGTTATGGGCCATGTTCATTAAGGCTCCGCCAGCTGTAGCAGTTATGGTCATTCTTATGTTATAGAGTAGTCCATTATAGAAGGTATGGATGATAAGCCATTTCTCTAGCACATTATGAGGACATAGTCTCATCATAGCCTATGATTCTCCTTCCGCTTGTCTAAAAGTAATTATATGATTTCTTAGTACTGATGTCTTGCTTGGTGGGAAATATATGCCTAAGAATACCTTTTTGAGTTTGTTCCAAGTAATGTTGGAGTTCGAAGGTAGAGATTATAGCCATGCTCTGGCTCTATCTCTTAGGGAGAAAGGAAAAAAGCGCAAGCGAACGACCTCTATATCGACACCATTACTCTTTAACGTGTGTACATATTGTACAAACACTGATAGATGAAGGTTGGGGGTCCTCGATGTGATTGCCAGAGAACTAGTTATGTTTCACTATCTGTAGCAGAGACGACTTCAATTCAAAAGTGTTCTCCTGGATTGCAAGTGGAACAATGCTTGAGTACGGCTCGTCCTGGGATGGGACGGCGTATTCCTTAAAAGGACGATTATTGTTTGCAGCCATAGGGGTAAATACGACTCGAAGTTGTTCAATCTGACCTCTTAAGTGAATAAGACATTTTACTTTGTTGATCGGTTATTCTAACTCATCTCTGGCTGAGTGAGTACTTGGCATACAACCGAGAGAAAGGAAAATAAATGTCATAGTCTATACGATGCTACAATGGAATTACAATATTGACTGTTGGTCCCCGGCAATAGCAGGAAAACCTTGATGGTTAATACCTGCTAGTGCACGGAAATGCCAGTTATAGTATAAAATAAGTCAAACCCATAGAAACCAATGTCAACCTACTATTATATGTTGTTGCTTTGCAAATATAAGGCTATCAATAAATATTTTGCTTGAAAATGGATTAAAATAATTGGGTTTAGAATTGATTTAAACAGAGACCAAAACTTAATTTTCGGGTACCTTTTGGACTCATATAAAATCAACACTTTACTTTGTTTAAAAAATCATTTTTTTCACGACTTATTAATTTAAAAACACCACTGACTTTCGCATAGTCCATGTTGGAATTTAGAATCCTAACTGTCTGATGTAAAACGTAAAATTTACAATTTCGAAACACTTTTTGAAAATCAATAAGTTTTAATTAATTAATAAAGCATCGTCGCTACTTAGAAATTAAAAATCCAAATTTTAACGATCAGATACCGTTTTTCACACTTTCGCGCTGGAATCGGTATCTGAATATTTTTCGCTTTCTTGCAAGTATTTTAACTTTTTTAAAACAAAATTCAGAACCAGAAAACAATTTTAATATTAAAATTCAGTTCTGCTTTATTTTATCAAGTCCTGTCAAAACGACGATCCTCACTTTCCGAGCTCTGAGAGCTTAGCCAAACATATATATTTTTATTGACATACTCTTATTCAACTGCAAATAAACTAAGATAATCATAATATTAATTAATTTTAGGATAAAAATAGTAATTTTACCCCTAGCCATACCCTAATTTTTATCCCTAATATTCCACATATCATAAAATTTGCATTTCAACCAATATCACATGTATGGTATCTTCCTATCCACAATGATTCCCAATGCGAATGAACTCTCAATTACGAGGCGCATACTGTAACGCCCATTTTAATTATCTTGTTTTTCTGTGTATTTTATTTGTGGTGTGCCTTCCGTGTTAGTGGTGTGGTTGAGTGCGATAGCGTGTATCCCTTAAGTTGGAGATTAATTGGTAATTTTGAACGATAAGGTTAATAATAAAATTATTAATGATAATGATGATTTAATGAATAATAGTATTATTATTATTATTATTATTGTTATTATTATTATTAATATTATTATTATTATTAATAAAATGGAATAAGAGTAAGTTAGGGGTTGTTTGGGAAAAAGGAAAGGAATTGGAAAAGGAAAGTGGAAGGAGAAAGAAGAGCACGTGAAAGAAGAGGAAAATTGGAAGAAGAAGAACAAAGGTAATTGGAAGAAGGTTGAAAGAGAAGGATCTTAGAGGAAGAAGAAAGCTAGAGTTCCGAGTCATCTTCTTCAGTTGTTCGAGTTATCGAGGTAAGAGGGGGCGGAGAATCGGGTCGGAATTGGTAGAGTGCATGAATATTAGGTAGAAGAGGATTTCCCCTAACCCCATAGGTTTGATGATTATGTTTTATATACTATTGTGATTCCGAATTTGATGCTGATATGATAAAACCATTGCATGTGTTGTTTGATCGATTTGGGGGATTTTGGGTAGTTTACACTTTTATGCCGAAATTGATTAATTGAGTAGAGTTGATGTTTAATCGGGTTAAATCGAGAATAAATTATGTAGCTAGGTTGTAGAATATTGATCTGATATGATGGGGACTGGTTTGAGTAGAATCGGCTGAGTTCGAAGAGTCTTACCGACTCTGAACAGTGGAATTTTTCTGAATTCGCAGGTGTTCGCCAGCACCTTCGCTGAGCGAACTGGGGCGAACCTTCGCCAGGGATTCGCCAGGCGAACTGGGCAGCGAGTGCTTCCAGTATCCAATGTCTGCATTCTCTAGGGAGTTCGCTGGGCGATGTTGCGGTGAAAATCGGATAACAAGCTATTGAATTAACTTGAACCTTAATTCTTTTACAACCGAACTTTAATTTATCCAAAGGAAAGGTCTAAAGAAAGAAAGAACCTTTTGCGCGATGTTACAACAACGCTAAGAGATTCGGGGATCGGGGGTTGGTTATGCATAGGGTAGGTATTTCACATCCTAAACATCTGTAGTACTCTACAGGAACCTTTTGTTT